CCCAAAATTGCCATGATCTGTAATGAATTGGATATTATAAAAATTTGGACGGAAAAATCTTGGAATTCCAAATAAGAAAAAGCTTCTGAAAATTTCATTAGTATTATCAAAAATTTCATTCATTTTTGCGTGTAAGAATGATTTGACTATACTTGGAGCATGGGGTTCGTAAGTAATTAGATCTTCAATGGACAGTTGAGCTAGATCATATTTGATTATTCTAGATTCTATATAGTCTGTTAGGAGTGGAATATTTGCCAAGCTATGCACAGTTTGATGAAGTGGTTTTGTATGCTCTAACTGCCCATAAAATGATCTGGTACTGCATGGAGTTCAGTTTTTGTTAACAACGATTGTTTAAATATTTGAACCAAATTTTAGAACAGTATGTAAGTACAGGCCTAATGATTGTTTTAAATAAAGTTAACCTCTTTTGAGTGTCTAAACCCCACATATTGCCACTTAGTGAACATAATAAATTTTTCATACGTCCTGCCTTACACAGAATATCATTAACATGCGGTGTAAAGTTAACTTTGTTTTTCCATTTGTGATTTGAAAATTTCATTCCCAGAATTTTTACTTGCTTGACCGGCATTATTATATTGTTGTTAACCTTAATAGGTATTTTTTGTCTGTTATGTAGGTATAGCATATTAGTTTTCTCTGTACTGATCGTTAATTTATTTCTATTACACCATTGGATTGGAAAAAAAAAAGATGAACTGTGATTTCAAAGACTTTCTACTTGTTTAAGTTTTGTCCATGAGTATATTGTACAAATATTTGGGGGAGGGTGGTATATATAGATATATGCAATAAAGACATCTTTTCAATAAATATGTATTTACATATTGTGACAGGTTTTAGGAGTCCTCAGGTAGGATGTTATGAAGCCTTCTTCCCTGTACCGATTCCCTGAGACCATAGTCTAAAACCCCATGGTATATACAAGTTTGTTGGTTTTTGTGGCAGAATGTTCTTATGCTGGTGTTGTGGGTTATTGACTGATCATAATGTTCTGTTGCAAAAAATGGTCAAAAAAATACAATTTTTGCTTTTGGGCTCTTTCACCCTTCCACAGGAGCCCAAATAATTCTATTATCTCCAACTTGTAGGCTGCTGGGGAAGGATGAAAGAGCCCCAAAGCTGGAAATAAATTCAGAAAACCTCTGTAGCGTAGTTATACCTAAAAATAAAAAAGGCATATCCTGACCAGGAGCACATGTGCTTTTCAGAAGGCAGAGCGTCATCTGGTGGAACAGAAATCAACTAAACATTGATTTAACCTGTTCCCTGATATTTGGCTAACCCAACTTCTTGATAAATCAAGAAATAACCATCCACGTAGTTATACTTGTTGAAGAACTGTTGAGCTCCGAAATCTTGTATTGCCGTTATATATAAAATAAACTCTTATCTCAGTGAATGGTCTTTTATTTATAATTTTACCGAAGGGATTTTATTAATAACAATAATAGAATCAAACACAAGGTAATAAGACCAAATAAATAAATAGTGTGTGACATTTCGGTAACAGCATTGTTACCATCTTCAGACAAAAGTACTGAATGAGAAATTTTACCACAGCATGTTTTAAATAGTTACTGTTATCAAGTGTGTAACAAGATAACAGATAAGAAGAAGATGGTTTTCTGAGAAACAGTTGTTGAAACTATCATCTTCTTCCAATCTGCTATCTTGTTTACACACTTGATAACAGTAACTATTTAAAACATGCTGTGGTAAAATTTCTCATTCAGTACTTTTGTCTGAAGATGGTAACAACGCTGTTACCGAAACGTCACACCCTATTTATTTGGTCTTATTACCTTGTGTTTATAATCTATAAATCCAAATTGTGCCTTATCAATAATAGAATCATTCTGGCTTCTGTGGAAAGGTAAAAAAAAGTCTAGAAAGCTAGAGATGATAAAATTATTTTCAAAAAAACTTATTCCTAAAACAATTTGGTGCCAAATAAGAATATAGAGCAAGGGATTCTAGATAGATAGTATATTTATTACCAGGTTCTTTAATAAAAATGAGAACAAAATTTTCCAAAAAACCATAGATCTCAGATTGAAAAAAAAAGTAAATTCATCGCTTTATTTTTGTAAATGTGACAAACTCTTGTATATAAATCACTAGCCGAATGACCCGGGCAACGCCCGGGTTTTACCCGATTAAATGCTTTTATTAAAATACTATTTGTTACAATTATAGATTGGCGCCGTGGATGTCATTCTTGTATAATATATAAATGAGTTTTAAAAATTGTAAAAAAAATGCATTGGCTGGGAATCAAACCCGGGGCGCCCGCCACTATAATATATAAATGAGTTTTAAAAATTGTAAAAAAAAAAAAAAGCATCGGCCGGGAATCGAACCTGGGGCGCCCGCATGGCAGGCGAGCATTCTACCACTGAACCAAAAGCAAACGGTGACAGAAGTGTCTCGCGCATTGGCGGCACCAAATGATGGGGGGGGGGGGGGCAAAGGTGGCGTGATCGTAGCCGACCAATAGGAGGGCGCCAGCAAACCGTGACAGAGGCCATGACGCTCGTAACTGTATATAGAATTATTGTAAATATGATATTCTTGGTTGGTCTCTGTGGTGTAGGCACCTAATAAAGATAATTTGGAACAGAAAAGTTATTACCAGGCCATGATAATCATAATGGGTAGAAGTGGGTCGGTGGACAAATGGTATAAACTATTGATTTGCAACAGCCACGATCTGGGATTGAACCTTTTAGGAATAAAAAAAATTGCTTCAATGTCCCCCGATTCTTGCAAAAGTCCAACTTCACCAGTGAGTGAAAAGTAAACAAATGGGACTCTGGAAACTTGTAAATGCAAAAGTTGAACGGCTTTCTATATGTGTAGACATATGGTGTACTTACGATAAAAGAAGCCGCCAACTACCTACCATGATTATCATGGCTGCCTGTATATCAACACAACCAGGTAGAGGGAGCAATCTCTCGAAATATTTTGAGAAAAAATTATAATAATGCACAATTTGGATTATTCTATATACAGTTACGAGCGTCATGGCCTCTGTCATGGTTTGCTTTTTTTTTTTGGAATAGCGCCCTCCTATTGGTCGGCTACAATCACGCCACCTTTGCCCCCCCCCCCCCCCCCCCCCCCCCCCCCATCATGCCCCCCCCCCCCCCCCCCCCATTTCTGTAACTATTGTGTTGGAGCGGGTCACTCCTTAAATAAATGCATATATTAGATAATAACCAAATGGAATCCTCTCTTTCTTTTTCCCAGTAAGAGACGCCTACGGAAGCATATGTACATAGACGGATAAAGCACAACGCTGTTACCGAACGTCACACACTATTTATTTATTTGGATTTGGTCTTATTACCTTGTGTTGAGAACAAATAATTTTTTCTTTCTTTCTTTACAGATCCAGGTAGGCCCCCATTATATAAACTTAATTGATGGATCGCCTTTTGACTCAAACAACTAGGTAGGTTTAATGGTGGTGGATTGGGACAGCTTGTACGAGGGTGAGTAGAAAAGTAAGGTCTTCTACGAGATAATTTCCGAACGCGCGTTGCTAGGTGAAATCCGACAACACCGCTGCCTTCCTTGGTTCCCCCTCTACCGTCTAGAACCTTCCCGGTGATCTTGGGATGTTCAGTCGCTGTCTGGCAGCCGTTCGCGATGGAGCTTCCCCTTAGCTCTCCTGCCAAGTGCGAGTTGCGCTCAGTTATACGCTTTTTAAATGCGAAAAATAATTCTCCGGTCGAAATTCACCGTCAGTTAGTGGAAGTATATGGTGAGAAGTGCATGGACATCAAAAATGTGCGGAAATGGTGCCGGGAGTTTAACGAGGGGCGGATAAACGTCCACGATGAACAGCGGTCTGGGCGGCCGAGTTTGCCGGAATCAACCGTGGCTCGAATCGACGAAATGGTGCGCGCAAACCGGCGGATAACCCTTGAAGAGATCGAGGATGGCCTGAATGAAGATTGCAGCCACTTCTCCGTGCACAAGATTGTGTCTGAGACCCTCGGCTACAGAAAGGTGTCCGCCAGGTGGGTCGACAAGGTGAGTTCCGATATTTTACAAATTTATCTCTAAAAACGTATTATAGAGCGCCATATTCGGCGTGACGGCGGCATAGTTTACGCATGCGCACTGTAGCTATAAGTGCTGCATCTTACCATGCAAATGTATGGTGGCGACCGTATATCGCGTGATTTTTATTATGCGTGATTATTAACTTGATGGCCAGTTTCTTCGCGTGGATTCATGGACAATACTTGAAGAAGTGGAAAATCTTTGATATCGCCGGTCGTCTGTCTTCTTGAAGGAGACAGAGGTGTTCACACTTGGTTATCTCGAGTGTCTTCAATAAAGGTCACTGTAATATCTTTCAGAGTTATTGTCTCAATCCCGATATATATGTTAAAAGGTACAATTTCCTTAATTCACATTCTTTATGTTTTAGCTTTGTTAAGATAAAACCTCAATAAAGCCTCGAACTGGCTGTTGATCTAGACCTGTTTGTAGAACAGGACAATGTTCTAGACCAGCCCTGGCCAACCTAAATGACGCCACGGGCCGCACAGAATCGTAAACAAGGTCTAAAAACTTTAACTATATCAAAATTTTAACTTTAAAATGTATTGTAATATTTTAAATAAAAAATTATTATAATTATTTCAATATATTTTCTGTTTTTGAATATACAGACGAGAAATGAAAGTTACAAAAGAAATATAAAGTTGAATGGCGAGCCGCAAATTTTTTTACGGCGGGCCGCATGCGGCCCGAGGGTTGGCCAGGCCTGTTCTAGAATAATAAAAAATAAACTTATTGTGACAGAATTTCTGTAGTTTTTAAACATCTTCCTTATAAGTTTTGTCCTTGGGTGTATATATATATATATACTAGCCGAATGACCCGGGCAACGCCCGTGTTTTACCCGATTGAATGTTTTTATTCAAATACTATTTGTTACAATTATAAATTGTGGTCATGTGGCCTAGTGGTCATGGCATCTGCCCGGTAAGCGGAAGGTCGTGGGTTCGATTCCCATTATTTTATCCATTCTGACCAAAATCTATCCGTGAACTTCACACAGACAGAATAAGGCAATTATATAAGTAGATTTTTAAAACAAATCTTTAAAATAAGCTCTGATACAAATAAAAGAACTTAATAAATATTTTAATCAAATAAGTCTCATGGTTTGTTTATTTAAAACTAGACGAATGGCCCGGGCAACGCCCGGGTTTTACCCGAGTGCGTATATATTTTAAAAACGTTTTAATTCAAATACTATTCGTTACAATTATAAATTGGCGCCATGGATGTCACTCTTGTGAAACGTCCCGTTCCAAACTGTGTGTTTTTAAAATGTTTTAATTAAAATACTATTCGTTACAATTATAAATTGGCGCCGTGGATGTCTCTCTTGTGAAACGTCCCGCCCCAAACTGTGTGTGTCTTGAAAATATAAAAATAAAAATGTGAATTTTCATAAAGATTTCATCATGTCGATTTTTTTTTTGCATTTCACCTACTAAATCGATAGAGATAATTACATTTGCAACATGAACTTAGGTATATTGACTAAATAGAAAACTGCATAGTAATAAAGATCATTTTTTAAAGGCACCATATCGTTTTTTTTTTTTCAATAAAATCGAAACAAAAATTAACGATAAATAACGATAATTGCCTTAAAAAGAAATTGCCTTAAAAAAAAAAGAAACATTCGCGGTGATTTTGTCTTGCATTCGTTTATACAATTATTATATACGAATGACCCGGGCAACGCCCGGGTTTTACTCGATTAAATGCTTTTATTCAAATACTATTCGTTACAATTATAAATTGGCGCCGTGGATGTCATTCTTGTATAATATATAAATGAGTTTTAAAAATTGTAAAAAAAAAAAAAAAAAAATGCATCGGCCGGGAATCGAACCCGGGCCGCCCGCGTGGCAGGCGAGCATTCTACCACTGAACCACCGATGGTTATGAAAAATCCCATCCGTGAGCTTCAGACAAACAGACAGAATAAGGCAAATATATAAGTAGATATGAACTAATTAAAAAATGTTCCAAATAATTGAGTTGTCTCATCACAAGCGGGGGGCGAACAAGTTTAAAAAAATGCTGAAATTGTCAAATTCATAAAAAACGCTTTTATACAAATGAGGAAATAGGGAAGGCAGATATTATAGATATACACACACTCATGGACAAAACTTAAGGAAGTTGTACCTTTTAGCATGTATATCGGGATTCAGACAATAACTCTGAAAGATACACTCATGGACAAAACTAAAGGAAGTTGTACCTTTTAGCATGTATATCGGGATTCAGACAATAACTCTGAAAGATACACTCATGGACAAAACTTAAGGAAGTTGTACCTTTTAGCATGTATATCGGGATTCAGACAATAACTCTGAAAGATACACTCATGGACAAAACTTAAGGAAGTTTTACCTTTTACCATGTATATCGGGATTCAGACAATAACTCTGAAAGATATTACAGTGACCTTTAGTGAAGACACACGAGATAACCAAGTGTGAACAAAATTGCCTCTGACTCCTTAGACGAACGGCGACATCAAAGACTCCACTTCCTTAAGTTTTGTCCATTAGTGTATAATGATATATTTTGTTACAGGGCGCGTCCCCAGGTAGAGGATAGGGGAACAACCTTCAGATATGAAGGCCAGCTGCAAAACAAACAGAATAACTCTGACAAATAAGTAGTCGCGAACCACACACAACACAACACACACACAACAACAGCAGCATTGTTAGAAGAGGGGAAAAACGTCTTTAAAAATCCTGAGTTAACTGACCCAGTTGATAGACTTCAGCAAGGTTCTTCTCCAGGGATACGGAGGAGCTGCGTCTGTACTCATGTTAGAGTCAGCAGCAAAGGCGTTTGCTTCCATGTTAGGAACGGCCTCAAATTACAGGTAAAGTCAGACTTTCACCAAAGTGTGCCATGGTGCCATGATCAACGAAAGCTGTACCCCTATACCCCATTCCACGAGATGTATAAAGTAATTATATTGAAATCTATATTCTTTCTCTTTCCTATCTTGATAACCATTTTTCCCATTTATGTATACATTAGGTAGAGTTAAAATCTATTAGTGACACATCTTTATATTTTTATCTTTGTTAAAGTTAAACTTTAATGAGCCTAGCTCCCTGTCATAGACTGGGCCAATGTTATAGTATTTTATAATAGACTATTTGTATAATATATAATTTTGATAGACTATTTTTTAATTATAGATTTCTCTGTTTAAAATTTTTATGACAGACATACACTCATGGATAAAACTTACTTAAGTACCTGAAAAGTCTGATGTTGCTAATCGTTTTTTTTTTTTTTGGAGACAGAGGCAATTTTGTTCACACTTGGTTATCTTGTGTATTTTTAATAAAGGTCACTGTAATATCTTTCAGAGTTATTGTCTGAATCCCGATATACATGCTGAAAGGTACAACTTCCTTAAGTTTTGTCCATGAGTCTATCTTTCAGAGTTATTGTCTGAATCCCGATATACATGCTAAAAGGTACTACTTCCTTAAGTTTTGTCCATGAGTGTATCTTTCAGAATTATCGACTGAATCCCGATATACATGTTGAAAGGTACAACTTCCTTAAGTTTTGTCCATGAGTGTATCTTTCAGAGTTATTGTCTGAATCCCGCTATACATGCTAAAAGGTACTACTTCCTTAAGTTTTGTCCATGAGTGTATCTTTCAGAGTCATTGTCTGAATCCCGATATACATGCTAAAAGGTACAACTTCCTTAAGTTTTGTCCATGAGTGTATCTTTCAGAGTTATTATCTGAATTCCGATATACATGCTAAAAGGTACAACTTCCTTAAGTTTTGTCCATGAGTGTATCTTTCAGAATTATCGACTGAATCCCGATATACATGTTGAAAGGTACAACTTCCTTAAGTTTATTTGTCTATGAGTGTATCTTTCAGAGTTATTGTCTGAAACCTGATGTTCATGCTAAAAGGTAAAACTTCCTTAAGTTTTGAGTATATTTATAATTTGTACATATTTCTTCACATCATTTGTAATGTCATGATTAAAAGAACGTTGTAGGGCGCGCGCGCGCCATGGAATGCCAACCAATCAGAGAGCGCGCGTGGCTGGTGTCATTTCGATCGTCGTTTGCTTTGTTCTTTTTTTACTTGGAATAAAAAAATTGAGTTTTTTTTTTGTTTGAGAACAGAGATACTTAACTATCCCGTATGCTCATTTGATCATCCTGATATAGTAAAACGGCGCTACAGTATTTAATTAAATAAATATATACAGTAGAACTACCTCTCTGTAAAGGACAACTCCTAATTGCAGAGCCAAAATGCCCTTTAGGGAGAGGTGTCCTCTTACTGGAGAGTTGCTGAATAGTAAAAATGGTAATTTAGCAAATGAAAACAGTCCTTTATAGAAAGGTGTCCTCTCATGGAGGTTCTACTGTATATATATAGTGTTTTAAAAATAAAATATTAATTATTATATTTATTTATTTATTTAATTTTTTTTATCACACACAGATTCACGGCGATATTTTTTTCATTATTAAATGAATTTTCAAACACTTTTATTTTTACCCTCTCTTCTTTTTTAGTTTATTTCATAATAAATATATATCTCATATATACCAAAAAATAATAATAAATATTCACAAGAGGGATTCTGAAATATTTAAAAGGAAATGGAAAATCAGATTACGAAAACAATTCCTTTTGATGAAACAGAAGTTCAATTTTTCCAATCTATTGTAAAAGAAAGTTCAAAAATATACACTTTCAATGAAATATTTTTGGAAACGAAATTGAAAGAATTGGGTGCAGGTATTTCAGGAAAATGCATGGCAACATTAGAAGACAAAAAACTAAAAAATGTCTATAAGATTTGTCCCATAGTTTCCACAAAAGAGATCACCAAGGGTGATGAAATTATTCCAGACAACTTAGACAATCTTGTAAAAGATATTGATGTCGAATTACAAATATCTAAAGCTCTTCAAACACTTCAAAGTGGTAAATCAAATTTCTGTTTATTACAAGATTTTCATGTTGTATGGGATACCAAAAATTCATTTAAGAATTTATCCGTAAATAATTTCTTAATGAAAAAAATAACAAAGTTATTTTCATGTAAAGTTGAAGAAAAACTTTATGCTATTTTTAAGATGCCTTATTATGGTTCATCGTTTGTTTCTCAAATATACAATTTGAATTATCAACAAATTTTTTCCATATTTCAGCAAGTAACATTAGCTATTGCAAGTGCTGAAAAAGAATTAGAATTTGAACATAGAGATTTACATTCTGAAAATATTCTCGTTATCTCTACAAAAGACGAATCGATCACCTACACTATTGGATCAGAAACTTTCAATGTTAAAACATACGGAGTTCATGCCGTTATCATCGATTTTGGACGTTCCAGAATCAAATATGAAGATAAAATCCACCATTTTGAATTTATGGAACGACCTAATATAGGTTCAAAACATCCTTTAGCCTGTTTATTCTTTTTAAGAGATGAAAAAGAGTTTTTTCCAAAGACGAATACTCTTTTTATCTATGCTATGTATAATGAAATAAGATTGCTACTTAATTCAACAAAGGATTTGCCAAAATTACCATTAAAACCAAAGAATACCATCGACATATATAAGACACTCGCTACAATTTGTGTCTAAAAATGTCAAAGATTGATATTTGAAGATGTTGAATCAGACTCCAAATCTGGCCACTCAGGTTTAAAAAAATATATATTTTTAAAAAGTTTAACTGTATATATAAGAAACTTGTATATATATATTATATATATAAAAAAAACTAGAATTTTTTTTTATAGGAAATACATTTTTTTTTAAACTAATTATTTTACGTGTGACATTTTTAAAACTCTTAAAATAATTTAATATTATATCAAAAAGTATTTTTTATATACAGATTACTAACTTATTAAGAAACATTCGCGTCTTCATTCGGTATATATAGATGTATTCTCCCTCATTGCTTATAATAAC